GGCTCAGAAATCCAGCCCTGCAGTCGGGGGCGAGGAGCGCTGGCTGTGGAGTGCGAAGTCACCGGCCTGTGTACACACAGGGCAGGTCCATACCCGGCGCTGCATTTCTTTTCAAGCCGTGGAGCGTATTTACTCAACCCAGCAGCCGGTCTGAACGCAGACACAGCCCCAAATATTTACCTGGCAACAGCGCAGCTTGGGATCGCTCAGCCAGCAAGTCACAAAGGCCCGGCCCCGCTTCGTCTCCCCGCCGGCCGGGTTTTCAGACCCCCAGGGGCCCGCGGCCGCGCTCTGGGCTGCAAAGACCCCAACGCCCATTTCTTTTAGAGCCTTGTCATGTCGGGCCGCCGGGAGCGGATCCGGTGGCAGAGCCGGGCGCAGCGTCTGTGCGGTACGTTAGCCGGCTTACAAAAGCACATCAGAATGGCCAGGCCCTGGGGGGCCCTAAGCGTGTCCCTAGTCGCGTCTAGGCCTCCACCCTGCCCCCTTGGTCCTGAGTGCGAGGGACCACGCCGGATCCACACTCCTGCAGGGGAGGGGCTGGCCCGTTGGGTACGTACCAGTTCCTTCCCACCTGGCTGTGCACAGGGACAGATTTTACCCTCAGGGCCCCAGGATTTGGACCAAAGGAAAATCAGATACGGAAAAATGAGCACAGGCGTCCCCAGAGTGGTGCATGATGGGACACAGGCTCAGCATAGGGTTGCCAGGTGTCCGGTTTTCGCCCGGACACTTTGGTATTTGGGTTCCCCGTCCGGTAAAAAACACCAGAAAATACTGGACACGTGAAAGCCCTCAGATGGAAGCCCGGCTGGGGATAGTTTTCCCCTGTCGCATCTGGTGGGGGCGAGGGAGTGAGGAGCGTGGGGCATTTTAAAGGCGCAGTTTTTTTTGCTCAACCAAGTTTGCCACGTTCGGGATTTTTGTTGAAAGCAACGGGCAAGCCTAGGGGTGCCTGGCCGAGGGTGAATTACAACGCACCCTGAGCGCTGTGGCAACATTTACAGCAGGGAGAGATTTTTATTTTCAATTTGTTTTCCAAAAACGGGAACATTTCCCGGAAACGTTTGACAAACTCCAAACGGCTGTGAGTGTGTTTGTCCCGAATTCCCATGGGAAAAGGGACATTTTCCAGCCAGTTTTAATGTTACTGCCTGCGCCAGATGGCACCACTGTCATCATCTGTGTTAGTCTGACTGTCGGTACAACACAGGTACAGCTGATGTCAGTTCTTTG